ATAGGTTGTAGAATATCACAGCTGACAATGCCTTGGAATCACTTAGTGTCTCTCAAGTCATGGAGTTTCTACAGTGAGCTTTTTTTGTCAAAGAAACTTATCATTTCAAGGAAGAGGAATTTGTAAACACATTTCTCAGCTCTGCCCCTGCCCCTGGACCTGAGTGTGACTGAAACAGCTACAAATTCTTATAAAAGATCTTGGTGTTAATTCTCAACATGGTACTTACTATTTAGCTGTGTGTCTTTGACAGGTGTCTCTGTGTTGGTGTCCTTGTCTGTAATGTGGAATGCTGACTTTAGCCCCTAAAATGTTCACAGGCAAATTAAATAATCAAAAAGTAGGCTGTCGAGGCTGGGAACTTAGGTCAGATAACTTGCTTAGCATTCATGAAGCACTGGTTGTGTACCCAGCACTACAGAGAAGAAGACCAGAGAAGGATGTGGCAGGTGTATAGCCACAGTATTGTGAGTTCATAGTGTCATCTGCTTAAATCAAATTGTCAGGACAGCATCGAAATTATGTAAACAAATACTCAACTATTGGTGTTTGTTTGTTTCTCTGTTTTGATTTTCAGGGCTTTCTGGATTTATTCACCTCCATAGTTGGGTTGGGGCCCAGAATCTTGCAAATGAATCTGAGGAATTAATGGAGGTCTATCTAGAGACTATAGACAGCCTTGACACACTCCTGAGTCAAGGAGCTCCCTTCAGCTTGGTTTTTCTTTATCCCTGGGCACTTAGCTTCACATGGGCACTAGTCCTCTCTAAACCACATCTCCCAAAGCTCATTTGAGTTCAATGAAGCAAACTTCTGTGTTGCTTACTTTCTCCTCTTTCCCAAGTTCTTAAGTTAAGAACTCCTTATTTTTCCAGGTGTGATGACACTTGCCTTTAATGCCAGTACCCAGGAGGCAGAGGCAGGCAAATATCTAAGTTCAAGATCAGTTTCGTCTACAGAACAAGTTCCAGGATGGCCAGATCTACACAGAGAAACTCTGTCTCAAAAACAAAATAAAACAAGAACAAAAACAAAATCTTATTTCCCAGTTATACCAGTAAAAAAGTAATGGTGCATAGTCTCTGTTCCCCATGCCTCTACTTGCCTGTTAGGTAACTTCAAAATACAATGTGAACTTGCCCTACCTTACAACTATCTTACAGGAATATCCACACTCAAAGACTAAGATTGGGCTTTCTGTATATCATCATCACTGACCTTGCCCTGAGACTATGAAGAAGTTGTCCATTGTAGCAGTTTGTGTAGGTTCGGCAGTGTTGTACTGGGAATTTTCATCTACACCATCCATTAGCCCTGGGTAGGCAAAGTCCATAATTCTAAGAAAATCTTTGGAGGGAAGTGTTTTAATCTAGCCACAAAGAATTTACCAGAATGCAAAAGAGAGGTGCGACCTGATGGATGATGGCCTCTGTGGATCTCTGACCACAACCAAACACAAGTGGGGCTTCCTGTCTCCATCATTCTCCTTGTTCCTTCCCCCCACTTCTGTTTTTGCCTGAAACCTCCCTCCTCCCCTTCCTCTCTTCCTCTTGTCTTTCTTTATAGTTCTACTCACAACAGTCCTCATACTGTCTTGTTTTATTAATTTATTTTTTACATTCCAATCCCAGTTGCCCCTTCCTCCTCTCTTCCTGCTCTCCTCACTCCTCTCCTCCTCCCATCTGCTCCACAAAGAGGGTAAGGCCTCCCCTAGGATGTCTACTAAGTCTGTCCCATCATCTAGTTGAGGCAGGACAAAGGCACCTCCACACCCCCACACCCCTGTGTCTAGGATGGGCAGGGTATCTCTCCATACAATCCTCATACTCTTTAAGTTACACTTACTTATTTACTTTGTGTATCTATACATGTGTGTGCACAGCACTCCTGTGGAGGACAGACAATGCAAAGAAGTGTAATGCATGTCTCTATGCTTTGTGGGTTCACAATCTGATGTGGAAGATAGATGTATGCAAAAATGAACAACACACAACATGGGTGAGAGAGGCAGTTGTGGTTGTCAGGAATAGAGAAGAAAAGTTCCTGATGAAGATATCCTGAAGTTTCTGGTGCATGGTGGTGTAGTGAAGGCATCAGAGGCAAGCTGAGAGTGCTGGCTGTGGTCCACCGACCCTAACCCGAATTAATCAGCACAAAGCAGATTATAAAGTCACAGGAACAGAATGGCCATGGATTCGGAAACCAACTGATGAGCGATGTTGTGACTGATCTTCCACTTTGCCTAAAAAAGCGCATCAAACTCACTGGTTTCCGTGTTGGGTTTTAATAGCTTTCGTATTCATCTACTTGTTTGTTTGTTTGTTTACTTATGTGGTGTGTGTATGTGTGTTGTGCATGGGAAGGTCAAAGAACAACTCTAAGGAGTCACCTTGTGACATCCAGAGTTCAAACCCAAGTTGTCAGGTTTGTGTGTGTGCAAGAGCCTCAGCCTGGTGGGCCATTGCACCAGCCCTGTGTAAAACCATTTTCAGCCTTCTTTCCAAAGAGGAAGGAGTCTGATCTGGGAAACTGAAATGGGCCTGAAGTGGGACCCAAACTTCACAGCAGTTTTTAGGAGCTTCTGTGGGTCTTATTTTTATGCCAGGGAATATACAAAAACATGGGTTTGACATGTACTCATGCCAATACACACACTGCTGGCCCAGAGGTCTCGGTGGTTTAGACTGCCACAGAGAGCTTCACTGGTGTCTTAGACTATCTTCCAATACAACCTCAGTCTTTGGCAAACAGATGAGGAGATGGGAGAGACCAGATGGTTAATGAGGTCCCCTGACCTTTCCAGTCAGCTATGCGCACAGATCATCATTTCTGCTGTCACCCAGAGTAGGGGAGAAAACAGATTTTAGCTATGTCCCAGGGATACTACAAGCAGCATCTTTTACAGGATGTTTTATGTCTTCAGAAAGCATGGATCCTGGGGCTGTAAGGAGGGGCACACTTGTGCCCAAGCACTTGCCCCCTGAGCTCTATGCCTAGAATCCACATAGTGAAAGGAGATAACCAAATCTGGAAAGTTGTCTTCTGACCTCCATACACTTGCCAGTGGGCTCACATGCACACACAAGCAAATAAGCAAATGTATAATATATACATATACATACATACATTTATAGAGAGAGAGAAGGAGAGAAAGGGAGAGAAAGAGAGAGAGAAAGAGAGAGAGAGAACATGGTTCATTCCAATGCTTTCTGCCAGTCTTATACAGCACTCAGAACACTTTGGCATCTACCACCACTTCTAAAAAAATGATATAGTGCATGAAAGATGTAGATGTTAAAAACTACCCTTTGTGCCCTGTGCTCTAAGGGGTTCAATGACTAGTCCATGGTCAGAAAACTTGAGCAGGTGCTAAATGTGCCCCCTCTGGAGCCCAGGTCCTGCTTCTGTGCAGTAATGCAGAAGGGCAGCATGAGGCATTTTTCTCTCCTTGTAAAAGAGAAAAACTGAGGATGGAGAATTATTTAAACACACCTCAGCCATTCTGCAGTCACTGCATTGTTTCTCCTCTAGAAACACCCTGTTGATTTTTAAATCCCCTTAAACCTCCCTGGCACCTGTATGGCCCCGATCCAAAAATTATTACCAAATCCCTTGCTCGTGCTTTTTATATTTAAGCTCGTAGGAGTCTCAGTGATTGTGCCTCCTGGTTTAGTTGAGAATTTAGGGGCCCCCAGAAGTTTCCTTCTTCTGTGGAAACTAGAGTCATGTAGAGCTCAGACCTCAATATAAGAATGTATTCATTCTCACCCACCCCTCGTTTTCTTAGCCAAGTATGCATGTGTATGAGAGTGAGCACGCACACACACACACACACACACACACGAGTAGTTCTGCTAGATTTTAAAAGGAAAAGTGTAATCACACAACCGTGTGCTATTCCCAGATGACAATGTCTCTGAAATATTAATGAAAAGAGTCAAAGGAAAGTTACATGGGGAGTTTGTCAGGGTTAGCTGCTCATGTGACCCGGTTTCTTTTTAGGGCAAACACTGAGGCTGCAAATATAATGAGAACTTCCCAGAAAATTCATTATAACAAAGCATAATTCAAGCTCTCTGGGAATAGAAATAGACCCAAGGAAAGTGACTCCCACATAAGACCTAATTAAATACTTTGATGTCAGAAAGCAAAGCAAGGAGGATTGGAAAGTCAAGTCAGACCAATATGTAGGGCCTACATTCACATGGGGAAAAAAGAAATAAATAGTTCCCATCCCCCTCCCTCTCTGCCTCTTTCTCTGTCTCTCCTCCTTCCATCTCTTCCCCACCCTTCTCTTCTTCCATGAAGGAAGAGTAAGATTCGGGAACAATGAGTTGTAAATTCTTCAGCCAATTAGCCCAGTGACTTACTACTGTTTCTAATGCACAGAATGTCACAGGCTGTTTTGCAGCCGCCCCAAGTCGGTTTGTTAATAACAGGAAGCTAGCACTTCTCAGTACAGTGGATCAAGCTACACGTGAAAATAAATGCAAAAAACCTGGAGGGGAATAGCAGCAGACCGAGAGTAGCCTTGATTTAATTTAACATTTGGGGTCCACACACATGAGCGTTTTAGTAGGCTTCATGGTGGAAGTTGCTGTCATTTGTAAAATATTCTGGCCAATTAGCTAATAGTGTGCTTGGATTTCTCCTGTTTTGATACAGTAATACTAAGTACATTGTGAAGCCCAATTATACAAATCATCCCCATATGCCGTACCAGTCTTTCTTTATGAACTGTGTTTATAAATCCTGTGTGAGGAAATGTGTACTTCAGCAATTTAGACCATGTGTAAAAACATAGCCAATGGGATTGTCAAGAAAACAAGTTCCAGTGTAGGAAATCCTAATGTGCTCGGCTGGAATAACAGGGGGGTGCCGGGAGGGCTATGGTGCCCGGAGGGAGGACGATGGTCTGCTCTCGGACTTGTCGCTTTGCAGTGTTTAACCAATTTAGGAACTTCCACTTCCCCTTCTGTTGTTTTATTCTTGTCTTTTAGGATCCAACCTTGGAGTTTTTGAGAAAATTTGGGATTGGTTTTCTCTCGGGGACAATAGGCTCCATCTTTAACATCCCCTTTGATGTTGCCAAGAGTAGGATCCAAGGGCCCCAGCCAGTTCCTGGAGAGATCAAGTACAGAAAGTGCCTTAAAACAATGGTGACGGTCTACCAGGAAGAAGGGTAACAGATTGTTGCTTCTATAAATGTGCAAGCCTCAAGGGTTGTTAGGACAGAGTTGTCTGTCTGTTTCGATGAGAGCCAGTGGACCTCCTTAGGCTGGGCTTGTATCTAAGGAGGTCTGTGGAATATATGACAAGTTTTGCAAGGCCACACAGTATTAAGACGGTGGCACAGTGTCTTCCCACCACTGTGACCATGCAGAGAAGCCCGGCTATACAATACAACAAATGTTCACCTGAGAATGCCCAGATAAACTCTTTGCCTGTCACTGCGCATGGTGCTATTGTATGCTATATGTCTTATTGGCATGCGGACAGAAAACTTGTCTTCTGCCTGGAAAAGCTAATCAAAATAGTGTTTGTGTTCACCTAAAAGATCTAATAGGAGCAATCTGAAAATCTGCATTTTTGCCTTTTTTTAAAGTATTTGACTTTTTCTGATCTGTTTTTCTAAGTTTGAGCTTCTTCTGTCGCCTTTCCAGCAATATTCTCAAGTAAACAAGTGACACTTCATTATTTCGACCTAAATTGCTTCGTATTTCCTAACGTGAAGCCTGAACTTTAAGTCTTTTAAATTCAATTACAAATGTCATTTTTGCCCATATACATGGCTGCCTTGAAAGCAAGAACTATCTCACTGATGAAAGGCATGTTTCTGATTGGACAGGACCAATACAGTCTATAATAAAGAATTGATTATCTCCTTTTCTTCATCTAATTAGCTGCAGCAAATACCTAGGCAGATACTGTCGGGTTGGGGGTGGGGGTCACTTCAAGTAGTTTCTTTGCAAATGGTGAAGGAGCCGCTCAGTGAAGCTAGGGTCTAACTACCTGTTTCCAGAATAACGATGTTGCTCCCCTTTCTATCTCTTCTGTTACAGGATCTTAGCCTTATACAAAGGCCTGCTTCCCAAAGTCATGAGACTTGGACCAGGTAAGATGGTCTCACCATTTCTGTCCTCCCATTTATTGTCCTGTACCTCTTGCTTTGTTACCTGTGTACATCAGCAGCACCATAGACATTTGTCATCTCAGGAGAGTGAAAACTTGAGGATATAAAGTTATCAGTTCAAGAGACTAGAAGCACAATTTAGAGATGCTCTACCTTTGCTTACATATACGACTTATGCTTTTCTGGAGGCCAGTGAGCACTAACACATGTCAGTAGGAAGAGATCCACATCCACAGCCACTGAAGCCTGAGTGAGCTCCAAGGCATACACAGTGGCTTCAGGCTAAGTCAAGGATTTCATGGAGAAACCCATCTGCTGACTTGCTCCCCTGAGCATTGAGAGTTCCCTGAACTTCATTATTTCATTCCCAGTCACTCCTATGGCATGAAGCACTTGTCCCAGCCTCAATCATTTTGGTAGTGAAGACTCCTGGCTTGGGGACAGGAGACCACAAAAAAAAAAAAAAAAAGAAAGAAAAAGAAAAAGAAAGAAAGAAAGAAAGAAAGAAAGAAAGAAAGAAAGAAAGAAACCAACATTCTCACAGGGAGAGTCAGCTGCCTCTATGTAAATAGATAAGAAAAGAGCTGCTGAAGACTTCAACTGCCTGGGCAAATAGCCCTGGATTACAAGCCGCCCTATGATTAAGTATGAACATATGTTCTAGACCACACAGACATTTTTTTAAAACCAGATCTCATGCCCCTCCTTAGACATCCTGGTAGTCTTCTATGGAACATTCTCTCCTCTCTTTGCCATTTCTCCTGTATTCACACAAGTATGTTTATATTCGAATCCTAATCCGGAAAACTGGCCCGCCCCCCCCACACACACACCTTAGGTAAAGAACAGCAAGCTGGAGAACAGTTCATACTTTGGTGTATTTAAAAAGCATTCTACCTTTCCTCATCTATTACCCCAACCTCTGTGGGCACTTAAGCATGGACTTTCTTCATATTTGAGATCTAGACCCGTCTCCTGTCAATCACTGGCCCATGAGTCAAAACCAAGTAAGGAATAAAAAAGTCGGCAATGTTGTACATCACCATACTTTTCCTTCACCAAATACTAAAGACCTGATAGTAGACATAATACTACTGAAAAATCATAGGTCCAGCCCTAACCAGCTTCACCAAATACTAGAGACCCAAGTGTAGACCTAGCACTAATAAAATCACAGGTCCAGCCCTAACCAGCTGTCTCAAAGAGCGGTGATGAAAAGAGGCACTGGGGAGAATATAGCTAGCGTGGTAATTGCCTGGAACCTTGAACCAAAACTCTTATATAATCTTGTCCGAAGTTCTGCTAAAGACTTCCAAATGTTTGCTTAGGTTTTTAAATGGTTCTGCATGAGGTATCCTAAGGTGTGCTGGGGTTAAATGCAATGAAAAGGGTTGTGTTACTGTCCAGCCTAAACCAAACTGTGAAGAACCAATCCTCTATGGGAACACCTGGCCTCTCCTGCATTTCAAATGTGTGAGTCCTAGAACATCAAAGGGAGGACTTAAGAGGAGAAAGGCAGGGTTTTTTGAGCTAAGGCCAATCATATTTAAGGGAGAAAAGAAAGGGAGATACCATAAAAGAAAATGGGGGCCAGAGAGATGGCTCAGTGGGTAAAGATGCTTCCTGGGTTCCATTCCCCAGGGCCTGCACGGTACAAGGAGAGGAGACATGCCTACAAGTTGTCATCTGACCACGACCCTCACCCTGGCATGTAGGAAGACACACATATGGGGAGGGGCGGGAGATCTAAAATAAAATTCACAAATTAAACTTAAGATACATAGAGTGTGGGGCTGGGGGTAGCTCAGTGGTAGAACATAGAGCTAGCATTCACTAAGCCCTGACCTTTGATCCCCAGCATCATACTTAAGGAAGGCAGGGATAAAGGGGAAGGGAGGGGACTGGAGAGAGTGGAAGGAGGGAAGAGAGGACAAAGGAAAGCAGGCAGGCAAGCAGGGGTACAGACCTTCTATTCTTCATCCAAGAGAAGCATCTCACCTTGGTTTTATCAATGCTTTAGCAGCTCCGTGTGGCTAACAATGAGGTGTGTCCACAAAAGAGTCAAGCCTTTGATTTCTACTCTAGATCTCACCAGGCTGGAAACTAAAAACTAGTCTCTCTCTCTCTCTCTCTCTCTCTCTCTCTCTCTCTCTCTCTCTCTCTCTCTCTCTCTCTCTGTGTGTGTGTGTGTGTGTGTGTGTGGTGTGTGTGTGTGTATGTTGTGCACATGCTTTACATTGTGAACAGTTAGTCAAAGCAAATGCAGTGATTACACACACACACACGCACGCGCACACACACACAAACAACTCTCTGTAATGCTTCTTGTTTGTTTGTTCATTTGTTTGTATTTTTAGAATTCCAGGAGAATTTTACCAGCTGAAAGGAGTTTAATAGAGTATCTCCATGGGTTAAAAATGAAAATTACAGGCAGATAATTATCTTTGGTTTATGGTTACACAAACATGTGCAGCCTGTTGAATTTTTTTTAAAAAAAATCATATGGCAGTGTGTGCAAAATAGCTAAGATCCAAATCAAATTCCTTTTCTTTCCAAGAGAAGTCAACCTTCCACCCATGTATCCGAGCCTGTTCTAAGTCATGCTCTGAGTATTTGTCCACATTTGGGCTTTGTAACTTTTTTTTCACATAGCCCATTCTAAGTTACAGAACACATCCTATTTGCTACATCAAGCCATGTTATGCCCACTCCTCCTGCCCCCATTGTGCAGGTGTCCAGCATCCTCTGAGCCTATTTTTCTGAATCACATTCCTTTGGTGTCTTTGACAGCAAAACACTTCACAACCAGTTACACAGCATTCCCATCAAAGAAAAAGGGTGGTTCCAAGCCACCCAACTCTGCCTCCAAATCTCCAAGTTCAAATCTGTATATATCTGAGGTAGACATGTGGAATGATGCTTAGCTCCCAACTTCCTTTTGTTTGTTTGTTTTTTAAACTGAGTTTTAAAATATTCAGAAAGTAACTTCCAGACAGCACAATCCACTTGAAAAGCCAGACTTGTCTGTCAAAGCGTCTTGAGAATTCTTTCTTAACTAAGACAATGCCAATTATGTCTGAAAAAGAAAAAAATCTATTGCCTAGATGTGAAGAATCTGAAAGTTTTTGTTCGCAGAAAAGTCACATGCCTTTACATGACTAAATATGTCTTTATTTATTTACTTTTTTAAAGCTGAAAGTGCCTGAAAAAGAATCTGATGAGAAATGATGAAAGTTGCAGAAACTCATAGGGGGAAAATGTATTTGGAGACACAAATGGTCTTGATTTTTACCCTGAGAATTTTCCACAATTGTTGTTTTCTGTGGGTGCATCAGAGCTCCAGAACTGACAGTTCCAAAAGCCCCGATCTAATAAGGCCTCCCTCCCAAGCCCTGGTTGCATGGGGTGGAGGTGGGGAGCCGTGTCAGTGCCTGTCCACAGAACCGTGGTGAGATGCAGCTCTCTTCTCTCCTAGGTGGCGCGGTGATGTTGCTGGTGTATGAACACACCTATGCGTGGCTGCAGAAAACCTGGTGATGAACTGAGAAGTGTTTTCCCCTTGGCATAACAGATGTAATCTGCAGTCCCATGAAGAGAAGACAGTCAGCTAAGCTAGACAGACAGTGAGAACGGAGGACAGCTTATTCTGATGTTTTAAAATGTTTCAGACAACTGGACATGGCACTTTGGACCATACACATAGCACTGTAAGAAGAAAGGTGGTAACACGGAGCAGTGGAGGATGTAAGTTAGGCAGAGACAGGGCAGAGGTCAGATACAGTTCATAAAAGCTTGGCAATCTGTGGACTCACACTGCATCACAATAAAACTCACTTAATAATTTTTCTGAGAAGTGTACAAATACTTAAATTCTTGAAAATAAATTGTTCTGTGGCTAATTCCCTGAGAATTATTCAAAGAAAGACTGAGTTACAAGCCAAACTTTAAATGCTTTTTTTTAAATAAGTAATTGCTTTTTCATAAATCAGAAAGGAAAAAAATTAAATACACCAAAATAATCTTTTAAGAATGTTTAATTTTGTGAGTGCTGTGCTAAAATGTGAGTCTGCTGGTTTTCTTTAGTAATAGTTAAGGACTATTTTCCTAAATCTATTTTATATTTCATGTGGTGGTTTAAGTGGTTTTCAATCATGCTATTTGAAGTCTTTTATTACAAATAGAATACATAATAGTATATTAAACTGATTTCCTTTACATAATTCATTTTGAAGACAAGTTTTATTACTAAGATACTTTTATATTAAGTCACAAATTGGATGCACTCCTTGAGCCCCTCTCTGTTGCCTGCATTTGCCTTCAGACACCTTTCCCTGAGCCCTTACCTATTCAGTTCTTTAAAAGGATGTAGCCAAATGAAACTGTTCTCCAGATTCTTGGGATTAGGTGACATCTTTAAGTATAACATCAACTGTCTAGAATATTAAAATGTCTATAATAAGGAGAAAATCTTTCAAAATAAAAATACATTCTTAGCATTTCCAAGCATTCAACCACTAACACGCACTCAAAAAAAAAAAAAAAAAAAAAAAAAAAGAGCAGACAGACAGAAAAGAAAAGACAGACAGAAAGGAAGGAAGAAAGAAACCAAAAAAAGAAAGAAAGGAAGGAAGGAAGGAAGGAAGAAAGGAAGGAAGGAAGGAAGGAAGGAAGGAAGAAAAAAAAGCTAGCTTTTTTTATCTTGATATAACCAAAGCTCCTTTGTAAGTCTGCATCCTCTAATGAGACCACTCCGGTAGCTAAAGTCAGTAAAAAATGTCAACATGTTTTAGATGGCACCTTCTCTTCCCTATTACTGTGGGGTATTTCTGCTATGGGGAATTCTCGCAAAACATTTTGAAAATAAACAGTAAAAATGACATGGTAATTATTTGTATTTATTAATTTAGAGCATTTGAAGTATAAAAATAAAAGGCTTTTGCCATACTGTATATACATACATAGCCTTCTCTTGTACATCTTTTCCAACATGCTTTCTTTTTTTATTTGTATTTCAGCCCAATATTCAATTTGTGAGTCATTAAACACAGAAAGCCGGGAGCAGGATGTGTTTGTGTCGTGTGATTGCTTTCTGCCCTTGAAGATAATACACACTGGCATCCTGTGAGAGAGGGCTGAAGGCACAGCACAGGGAGCAAAGGGAACTGTGAAGAATGCCTGTGCCAGTGAGAAGTCTTTATCCTGTGAGCTGAGCATTAGCTTTGACCAACAGCCACAGGGTTAAAGATCAAGCAGTCCTGGCTCCACTGTTCTCCTGTTCATAGTTTTTAAAGTGGCTTCAAATCATAAGTGGCCATGAATAACCAACTCTACTCAGGCTTTCTGTTGTCTTAAAAATTGCTCCATGTAGATTTACTGCTATTAATGAAAGACCTGGGATGAGAAGTGAAAGTGGAAAAGAAAACTTTGACACCATTAATATTAATTTCTTAAAGTACAAAAAAAGAAAAAATATAAATAACAATAAGATTTCTTAATTTAGATAAGGAAAATAACATTATTAGTTGTGTTTCCATACAAATAATTGATATCTTTCAACACCCCTAATAACAACCTAAAAACATTAGATAAAGAATAATTCTGTACCTTAAGTCAATTTTTCTGGATGGCAGGCAAGTTCCTCTATTGCATGCTTTGCAAGTCTCCACCAAAATATTGGATTAGATCTTTGTGCCATTCAGTTATAGTCTATCTTCTCACCACACTGGAAACTCCAGACGTCAACGGGGAGTTTTACAAGATCAAAGGAATACTATGGCCCTGAGAGTTCATTGGCTCCTTCTGCTTTTCTTCTCCTGAAGTTATAATCCTGTTTGTAGCAATGAATGTCGGTTGCTTTACAAAGAAATGCAGTATGAAGCTCTCTATAAGACATCTGCTGTTTGAAAAAAAGCAGTTCCTTGAACATAATTCTGTGTCAAAAATCTGCTTACGGTTTATATCCTAGGGAATCAAAAACTAGCTGATCTAGCCGTCTGAGCTTTAGAAGAGGCAACGAAACCTGCATAGCTGGACTGGATTGCTCTGTCAGCTGTACATAACACAAATTCAAAGAAGTCAAATCTGCCAACAAACCGGCATCTTTAACATCCAAATCTAGGGAGGTACCTGTTCAGTTATTGAATGGAATTAATGCCAAGATACCCAACAGTACAGTAATATCTCAATAGATGAACTTTGCCAATGTTCTTTTAACCCTATAGGTTACTTTTAACCCTATTTTTACCAAGCAAGGAGAACCTCCTAAGCAGAAGGAATATAAATTGTAGAACCTTGCCCAAGAAAATGAATTATTCAAAAATAAAGATATATAGTCACAGGGTCACACACACATATGCATATCCCCTAAACTCTATTTGTAACATTAAAGTGAAAATCAAGTCGGTGTAGAAAGGTTTAGCAGTTAATCTCTGTTCTGTAATTCTGCAAATCAATAGAGGGAATTTGCTAAAACTTAAATAGCATTTGTATTTCTAATACCAACACCAATTGACCTACATGTGAAACAAGCCTTGGTACACAATGTAAACCTCACAGAAAGCCATTGTTACATTCATTAGAGCAGAATTCTCCATTTCCTTTTAAGTTACAAGATGATTTGGGGCTGAGATTGCTAAACACACAGGTAAGCCAACAGTAACAGTACAATTTCATTTCACAGTGGTTTTTTTCATCGTGTAAAGTTCATTTTAAGTGTCTCTGCAAAAAGAAAGAAAGGAAGGAAGGAAGGAAGGAAGAAAGAAAGAAAGAAAAGAAGGAAGGAAGGAAGGAAGAAAGAAAGAAAAATTCACATTAGACTTGTGTCTAGGTGACTTCCCTCAAAGCCTTGTGGTACAGGTACGTTACAGCCACTTGCTCACCTGTGCCCTATGCTTGCCATGTGTTTGTTTAACTGGGATACAAATAGGAAAGTGGCTTGTTTTGTCTGTGTTTTGAGTCCTCTGCTGTAGAAAGAAAGTATCCTTTTTGTGAGATGCTGAAGCCTTCACTGCACACACACAATTTGGGAGCAAGTCCAGGTCCAAATCCAAGTGAGTGCCCCACAACCAAATAAAGAAAAATACACTGCCATAAAGTCACCTATGCAAAAAAAAAAAAAAAAAAAAAAAAAAAAAAAAAAACAAAAAAAGCAAAAAACAAAAAAAGCAAAACAAGGTGGTGGTGTTGGAGAAGGAGGGATATCCTATAGATTGAAGACACAAATGCACCATCCACAGTCCATATTTACAAGCTAATAGAAATATAAACATTATTGTATTAAGAACCAAGTCAAAACACCAAAAGGAGAAAATTTCTGATATCGCTTAGGTTCTATATATTTTTTCAACAAAATACATCATCTCTTAAAAAATAAGCAAAAGATCACACAAGTCAGTTACTGATTGGTTTCCTAATGGTGAATTAAGGCTTATCTGGTCACATTATTTGATTAAAGGGTATCTTTTCCTTTATTGATTTTTGCAAAATATCAACAATTGCACATTTCAAAAGTTCAGGTTGATTTAGAATAAATATACATGTGTGGTTTTACCAAAGATAGGTCTTCAAAGTCCTATAAGCCCTTTGAGGGGTATAGGTTTCTTCACTATGTTAAAACAGTGTGCGGGCAACACAAATGTCTCATTCAATCTTTAGAGTTGCTTTTGTTTTTAAATCCTAAAGTTATGCCAGATTTTCTGGGGAAAAAAAAAAGAAGTTACAAGAAATAATTAAGTGTCATCAGCACAAAGATTATGAATCCATAAAACCAGCTCTTGAGGCAGGAAGGCTGGACCACTGGACAGGTGGGGTGTGAAGAGGTGGGGGGATGTGCTGAGAGAGGAGACCAAAGTGAAGCTGCTGGAAAGGAAAGTTCCCATCAGAGTGCTGAAGCTGTGACGGAATGGCTACCTTCTCTGGCTGCCTGCATTCCCTTGAAAGCCAGCGATGCGGGAATGTCACAGTTGTGGGGGGACAGTGGGGTGCTGCCGGCATGTTGCCACCCATGCCCAGCCACATAACCAGAAGGAGCGGCACTGTAGGTCATGTAGGGTGACACTTGAGCTGGAGTCGGGTAAGGAGCCATGCTGGATGCTGATACAAAACTGCTCACAGCTGGGAGACCATTTGGTGCCTGAGAGGACAGAAGAAACAAAAGAAAATCACATTGCAGTATTCAACATCTCTCCAGTTCTTAGATGCAAAACAGAAATTCGGAGTGAGTTCACAGTACAGTGGTTCTACTTCAGGGCTGTCTTTTTTTTTTTTTTTTTTTTTTTTTTTTTCCCCTAGACTTCCTTTTAACCTTACTTTGACCTAAAAGTATCCAGTCTTGCTACTTAAACAAACACAGTGCTGAAAAGCAAGATACTGTTCTTTATACAAACGTTTTTTGAGGAAGCTACAGCCAGAAAATTCAGTTCTCACTTTTGTGATTTGAAAGTATATGAAGGTGAGGCAGGGTGAGAAAGAGTCAACTATGATTAACCGGCTCTCCAAGGCCTTTGCCAACCTTCCTGGAACTTGGGTTTTGTTGAGCTCTTTTGTTGAAGCACTGTGACAGGCCTGTTTCATGTAGCTTTCATTTCCAGGAGAGAAGGGCACAAGGTGTGTGGTGTTATGTTAGAAACTCAAAATGAGCAAACCTTCTGTTAAATAAAACATGGGCCATATTTTAAGAAATCATGTTGAATATGACACTTAGACAAAGGACAAGTTTGGGTCTTTCCCAGTAAGGGTTTTTTTGCTGTTGGTTTTCCTATTGTAGTTTGGTTTGGAGTTTGTTTTCTTAATGAAGTTTGGGGATATATTTTTTTCATAATTTTATCAGAAAGGAAATTTTCTCCACAAATACGAGGGAATATGTGTAGCTTTGAAATGGAAATTTTGCCTTTACAGTTTAGTGTTTTGTTTGTTTGTTTTGTTTTGTTTTGTTCTTTAAAGCCATATGGGCAAATCCCTTTAAATGAATTTAATGTGAAATCTTTGTTTGCAAACAAAATGGAATGGCTTTGGCAGGCAAGCTTGCCTAGAAACCAGGCTTTCTTGGCATTCAATAAATCATTGTTGGTATCGTTACTATTAACAACACCAAAACACCCTGATTTCTAATCCCTCTCTGGCTTGAGTATTCTCCACCCTTCAAGTAGTTCATTTTTTTCCTCCCAGTTTCTACTCTGTTTAAAGATAAAGACTAAATCTTGTTTCCTGGAAATGACACGACTGGACTAACATGTCAACATGTTTCCTAGTGAAAAAGTAATGTAAATACCAGAATTGTATAAGAAAACATGATTTAATCCCTAGAGCTCAGTAAATCAGACACATATTAGATGCTTTGTCCAATTAAGTTAGAACAGAAACGGTGTTTTTCTTTTGTCTGCTCAAATTGAGCCCAGGACCTTGTACACACCCAACATGCCATCCACCAAGAAGTTGTATCCCTTCTCATTTAGTTCCAGAAAGTGTTTTCCGAATTAACTCATTTGATCATCATTTTTACTTCCATGTCTATGAGAATATAACGGTGAAGTCTAAAAGTCTATACTCTGAGTGTAAAAGGAATATCTACACATACATATATGGATGCACATTAGCATTACCCATAGAGTTCTGATAAAACCTTCTTAAATCTTTAGTCTATAAGGACACATATATTCTTCTTTTTGCCATTGTATATTCTTTTAAAAATGGAAGACAAAAGAAAAGAAAGACCTTTGAATACCTATGTCCCAGGCACCTAGAAATATCCAACTTAATTTTATAATATTATAAGGATTAATAAACAATAGCTCAGCCACGCAGTGGTAATGCACACCTTGAATCCCAGCACTCAGGAGGCAGAGGCAGGAGAATCTCTGTGAGTTCAAGGCCAGCCTGGTCTACAGATCAAAATCCTGTCTCAAAAAACAAAAAACAAGAAACAATAGCTCATTTTAAACTGTTCAGCCTATCACAATTACAAGATAATATATGTTATAATGTAATGTTCAATTGGAATTTAAGTTTTATTGTTTTGGGGTTTGGGTCTTTGTTTGTTGTTTGGGGTTTTTTGTTTTTATTTGTTTGTTTTGGGGAAGTTTGGGTTTTGTTTTTGTTTGTTTTTTTTTTTTGAGACATGGTCTCACTATGTATCTCTAATTGTCCTAGAACTCACTATGTAGACCAGGTTTGCCTCAAACCCACAGTGATCCACCTGCCTCTATCTCCCAAATACTGAGATTAAAGGAATGGACCACTATACTCACCTTTTGGTTTTGTTTTTAAACAGGGTCTCACTATGTACTCAGGCTGGCCTTGAACTCATGTCCTTCTTGTCTTAGCCTTCTGACCAGAGATCACAAATATACACTACTATACCCATATGAAATTAAAATATATATCAAAGGGCCTCCCAAATGATGTCCTTTTAAGTAAAGCTCAGAACAATTATCAAAGGAATAACTTCATATTGTTGTTCAATAAAACTGAAATTCTTTCTTTTTATTTATTTATTGGGAGGATGGTTTTGAGATTGGGCTTCTCTGTGTAACAGTTTTGGCCATCTTGGAACTCACTTTGTAGAACAGGCTGACCTTGAACTCACAGAGATCTGCCTGCCTCTGCCTCCTGAGTGCTGGGTTTAAAGGCATGCACCATCACTGCCTGGCCTATCTTTTTTTACACACAAAGCCACTTAGAAAGTTTGGAAATGGCCTCACATTTTAAGACCATCGCTCCTGCCTGATACTACAGGGTCTTCTGTAGTCTGTTGTGGTGTTTTTTCTAGACAGTCACAAGGAGGTGAAATGTAACCTCAAACTACAGAACCAGTAAAAGATTCTTCCTAGAACTCAATTCTCTTCATTAGATTTTTTTTCTCTTCTGAGAAAAACAAAACAAACAAACAAAAACTTATGTCCCCTTTTTAAAGAATAACTAATTATGTCTCAGAAGAATTTACTTTAGAGTTCTTGGGTAATGAAAATCTACATAGCCATTAAATTACAGGAGAAGATGGGGAATAGTCTAGCGTTACAGAGATTATTGCTTTAATTGTTTTTTTACTATTTTATTTTCCCCTAGATGATGTGTTAAATTAGTTTGGAATGTAATCATTTCAGTAGAATTATGGAATGGTGTCCACATCTGTGTTTTGCCACTGACTACCACTAATTAGTATTTAATACTACTAATACCAATGTGAACACAGAAAAAATAGAGTAAGAATATTAAGGGTTGGCAGTGTAGCTCAATGGTGGAATGCATTCTTAGATTAGCATGCATACAACCCTGGGTTTGATCTCCAACACAAGAAAAAAATGTTAAAAATTAGTTCTAAAATAACAGAAAACTTGACTATTCATTTTCTAAGTGCCCAATGTCAAAAGATTTAATATGCATGGCAAAATACTGTTCTATCTGGGAAAAAATACGTGTTGTTGAATTCTATTTTCCATCATGGCCAAATGTTCCCTACCTGTGCCTTTGGTGGGGTGCTGAGGGTGTCATTCACTAAGTACACCCTCGTTCTCGATGCAGTATAAGCTATTCTGCTGTATCTGAAATCAGCTTACATGCACCCACTTATTACCCCACCCCTTAAATATGACCCAGAAAGACTATATCTGATTCTCACCTCAGATAATGCTCCCTTCATGGGGAGGCAAAGCACTGAGCTGTAACCTTACTTTCATGTACCTTATTTATTTCATAACTATTCATTTGTCAAATATAACATATCCTATTAATTTTTCCATATCTACCCAACTTCTCATACCTAAAGTACCAAACTTGCTTGTTATCATCTGTGGTAATACTGAGTATTTCAAGGTTCTCAACACGCTGTGGTATTTCCTGGTTGTCAGTTTGGTAGTGTGATCCCCTCTGTGTTGCAGAAACACCCAAGAGGAAGCAAGAGGTTGGGAGAGGTAGCTTCATCTTGTACAAAGGGAGGCAACTGGTCACTTAAAGGGGGAGAAATGGCAGAAATCCTCAGCCTTAGCGTAGTAACTCTCAGTTTATCCCCATGTTTATGACTTGACCAGGACAAGCAGGGAGTTGTGTCCTGCTGTTCAAAATCAGAGTCGTGGGCAAGACTGAGCAAGAAAAAATAAAAGTGCTTCAGAACACCCTTGCCCCAGCCACCCTCACTGCCCATTCAGTCCAGCGACTCAATAAATATCAATCTTCTCACTATTAATTTTGAAACATGACATTAGGAAACATAATAAATCTCTGCTGGGTAAAGTGGCCATTATTTATGACGAAACACTTAAAGGGTAAAATTTTCCACAGCAAAGGAAAACAACCACAGGTAGCACTGGTTTGTTTATGCTCTTCAGTAAAGAAGTAAACTTCAACACCCCAAATCTGCTTAATGTTCTCAGTGAAGGGCATGCAATTAATCTGAAAAGCTAATTAGGCCGAGTAGAGACTACCAAATGTGCACCATAAATATAGTAGGAGCAAACATGTTAAATTACACTATTGGATTGTAAATATGACTTATTAATCAACCAATATACAGAATCCCGAGGGAAAAGTAAACAAATTTTCCAAATGAAACCCTGCAATAGCAATGTAATAGCAATCCTATCCTTGAAAATGACTTTGCCTAAATATTTCATAAATAAGACTTCAATCCTTCAGCCCCCTTATCACAAAGATCTTCCAATAAAGCTTATTGAATTATTTTCCCTGAAAGAACGCTGGACCTTTCCTCCTCACAACCAGCTACCTTCTACTTAATTGTTGAAATGAGATTTACTGATACAAAGAAAAACAAGTCAATTGCACGCTCTAAAAGGAGTTAGTTATCTTTGTTGATTTGTCTCAGGGGTGGGGGATGCAGCTTTTATCTCATGAACACTAGAAGACATCTTCTAGAGGGATACTGGTGGTGTAATATAGTTTGAGTCAGGTGGTCTCATGGCTGTGTTGGCAGGCTGATGGAGGACAGTGACCTGCATTAATTACCTTGTATCCTCACAAAATGGGACATATCAGGCGTTTCATAAACGACTCACTGAATGAAGACTTGTGAACACAAAAGATACGATTCTTCTGTTGTAAGAACAAAACAAAGAGCTAGTCCCCTCCCCACTTTATAACAGAACAAGTATTTACTTCAAGCAAGCCAAATGAGTAAAGCTGTTGGCAAGAGTAAATAAAAGTTCCAACCAGCCATTTCACTATATGATTTATGGTTGTTCCTTGTATTCCTCCCCCTCTAAGAAAATGGAAATGCATTGGTATCCAAACACTTGTGACCATGAAAAAGAAAGAAGAAGAAGAAGGAAAAAAAAAAAAAAAACCCTGGTATGACAACTGTCTGCAAATTACAAGTTAAAGACTATTTTTCAAATTCTGAGAATTGTCTACTCAACAGTTTCTCTCTTGAAGAAAATGCAAATAACAGTTTAGTGCCAGGTTCTCTGTTCACGATCTGTCAGTCAGCCACTCCTCCAGTCCACTTGGCCTTTCCTTTCTAATAACATGAGTTCACCCTGGCTTCTCGATAAAATATATTTGGCCATAAAAGCAATTGTGCCTCACATATATTTACAATATCAGTTTCATAGGCAAAAAACAGATTTACATCTGAAAATAAGCAGGTTATTTTTGAGAAATTATTTCTCTGAGATTATCTGTTTAACTACTGTTCCTCCCTTCTTTATTATATAACAACTTAGTAAAACAAAGTTGGTAAAATGAAATGACGGTCATAAACGTGGCTCAACATTCATTCAAGAGAATTACTTTTACTCACCCCACTGCAGGTCCAAATGTCTCTAGGTAATGGGAAGCTAGTATGGTATTTAACCTTCTCTAAATCTTGTGTTTCTAAGATGTTATCAAAATTGATATAGCTTTACACTGGTTAACTTTATTTTGCATTCTATTGTCATACAGCAATACTTATATGTATTTATCAGGTACAGTGTGATGCTTCAATACATGTACACATTGCACAAAGATCAAGTCACTTAGCACGTCAATCACCTCAGATAACATAAGACAATAGAAAAACATCCAGAATCCTTTCATCTAGTGACCTGCATTTTACAGTCTCTTAAGTTCCCTTTTGTTGCTATTTCACATGACACATTTTACTGATATATAATTATTATTAAGTTTGTTTAAAAATACTATTGTTTGAAGGTTAATCAAATTAGATCATGTATGTCATAAATATGATGAATTTCAAAAACTACTGGAATTTGCCTAAAATGTTTTTCTCTGTAAAATTATAAATTGAACAAAAACTTAACTGTTTATCTACTGTGAAGAAAATTCAGTACAACTTCTTTTCTATCTTCATGAAAATATTATGGTCAGGAAAACAGGTTTTAAATCTTTTTTAATTTACTTGTTTTTTAACTATCAAACAAAGTTTTTAAAAATATTTCACTAGGAAATTGTACACAAGATGATTCAGTTTTATCTTTATTTAAAATAATGCACAAATGAATACTTTATGAGGATTTTAGATTAAGGCACATTTTTTTAACTCAGCTTTTTCCACAATTCATTTAATTCTGAACATTTTAGTGCAATTGTTTATAGACTATTCTCTATTTCTGACATCTCAATTGCTAAGGAATGTTATATTAAATTTATTGTCTCCATTAACATATTCAACCTCAAAATGAAGATACTGGGAACCTGTAAATCTATCATTCACATTACTCTAGAGTAGCAGGTAAGTGGTATGTTTGCTCTGAGAAAACATGCCTATCTAGAGAAAACTTTTCAAAAACTATCCATGTAATTTTGAACCCTGTAAATAAAATCAATTATTAATTTGCCAAATTCCATGTAAAAGGACAGTATAGCCTGACACCTATATTAATTTATTTCATTTTTTTTTTCACTTGATCACTTTAAGTCAAGATTTTGTGCCTTCACAGAAGAAAACCAAATAGAAAGAACAAGAAACTATTGTTTCCCTTCACAAATAGATGAGAGTAAGGATTTTCTGACCAATAGTAAGTGTGGTTGAAAAAAATCTAAGATAAATAAATATTCTATCCTAGTCAATAAAGACTTCTGAATGGGATTCCAATATGAATTACACAGCACAACGTTGATGTGTAAACTACACTTGGATATTCTAAACTAATTTTCAAACACAGTGAATAGGTATATGTATGACCGAAGTGTACATGCATTTCTAATTCCTGGGGATCAGGCATCTCTAAACTCTAGATCATGGTAGCCAATAGACTCAGTACTCAGTTGCCGGCTTATGTTCTGGGGTCATTTGACAGGTGTCTTCCAAGTAAACATGCTCTGAGCTGTGAGTCTGTTCTCTCAACCACCCTCTACCACCACCCCCAGTGCACCTAAAAGAAACTAGCATTTAAGAATAGCACAGTGTTAATTACAACTGCAAATGCCCAAATGTATTATAGGTAATTTTTTCAGCTTTCCTTTGTCAAGGACTTTACAGTTTTGTTGGCCAGAGGGGCAATGGGTACCTGAGTTAACCTTTTTATCGGAATATGCTGACAACACTTTGTAGGAGCAGTAGGGACTTGTAAAATTAAAGTTAGCTTTTGAATACTGCAAGAGAAATACACACACATGCAACTCCTATTCATATTAATTCTTATGAGCTTATGTGTAATTTTACATCAAGAAATCAGTGTCTAAAGTGAAGTGTTTACCTCCTTAACATGTCTTCAGCCTTCATCATAATGGGGTCCTCACTGGTTTAGGTTGTGCTTAGAAACTAGTTTTATGAGTATGTAGCATTTGAATTATCTACCTACATGGCAGTATGGAACAACATCTCAAATCAGAGCTTTTTAAATATTAATTTGATGGACATGTCCTTTGATTTGGGGGACTTGTTCTCTTAAGCATTATAACATTTAGAACAGCATTTAATTTGGCCACCCTTTCCTTAAATTACTTGCTTTTATAAAACGTAATTCAGTCATCTAAAGTTTTTTTGTAAATGATTTTTTACGGAAACAGCAAATTACTTGAAATGTTATTTATTTTAAATAAACTGTCAGTTTAGTTTTAAAGCATATTATTAATTAGCCATTTCTAAACAAGCTTCACTGACAGATACATCATTCAAGAGAGGGGGAAATGAAAGTAGCAATGAAGCTATGAAGGTTTTTGGATGAGGAAACTGTGAGGGGGGGAATGCTGGTTCATTGACTGCGAGTGGGAATTGGAGTTTATTCTAAACTAGACATCACAGTGTGATTCCCAAAAGCAACCAACAACAGACGGCACTGAGCCCCTGTTAAATGCTTTCTACTGTTCTTGACGCTTTGTGTACACTTCCTATTGTATGTCACAAATGCTTGCAGGAATGCTTACTATGGATTTTCTAAACAATGCATATTATGAATGTCACTTGTTTTTAAAAGTCAATCTCTAACTGCCATTTGGAACCACAGGGGATATTTAATGAATGTTTCCTAAGGGCCCTATCGATGTACTGACTCTTGACTTTGGGACTATCATTTCCTTATTTTGAAAATGAAGAAACTGGGGCTCTAAATGAGCCAACAGCTTGCTTCAGAAGCGGCGGTAGCAAAGCGCCAGGCGTCTAACCACTGTGCGCCACCGCCTCTCTGTGGGCTGATTGTTACAGGCATATCTTTGCGAAAGAACATGATGAATTTGCTTATGATACCTCATGGACATTCTGTACAGTGGAACCAGACTAAGAAAATCTCTTTCCTTGCTGTTTTTGGTGCTATTTGCCAGGGAATAGCTAGCTACTAATGCATCCTGACAACACTGGTGAGGGACTAGGAAATAGAGAAAATGATGGTTGGATGCCCCCCAATGGGTAAGGATAATAAGTTCCAATAAGTATATTAACTGATTTTGACAGGAAATAAAAAGCTTTAAGGCTTTAAGATAACACTAAGTACTTTGATGCTTCCAAAGTGGAGTCTACTCCGTAAATACCTTACTCTGCCTTAAGTCCGCATTTAAGTTTTAAACTCTTCATTCTAGTACATTGGCGTATTTGGATTCACGGTTTTGTATGGCGGCTGCTTAGTTCTTCTCAAGGGGGAAAAAAGAAAAGGAAAGGAAAAGGAAACGCGAGTGTTTTAAAATTTTCCTTCAAAGTGTAGAGGGAGGGCCGCGGGGAGGGAAAGGAAAATTAAACGGTCCACAGCCAGTCCGTATAATTTGAGGTTTTCTCACTAACCTCCCTTGGGAAATTATGATGTGACCTTTAATCGGGAAATGCTAACTTTATTACGTTTATCTGGCTGTACCTCTTCCATTATCGCCGGACAAGCTGGTCTCTGGAATCCCAGGCAGGAGAATTGTCTTTACACAGGGCCCCACAGCTGCCCACACGCCTTGCGACAGCAGCCGGCTAGTGGGGCGCTGCTCTGAACCCCAAGGCCTGGCCACTCTGAAGCCCGGCCTTGGGTTAACTAAGATCGGCTGGATGTGGTGGAAGGGCTGCGGGCCGCACGTGCAGCGGGATGCCACGCTTTTACTCAAACCCGCCCAGACTTAGTCAACCGGGACCCATCTCCTGGCATCAAGGAGTTTCTCTTCGTCGAGGCTCTGAAAGGCTCTGCGTCCTCCATCTCCCAATCCCCCGCACCAGGAGGCTCGCCTGGCCAAGCCCTCTCCTCACCTGGCCGTACTTGGCCTCCTGCTCCAAGGCCCCCTTCTCCAGTCCATTCACTGCGTGCGGGCCGGCGGCCGGGAAGTTGCTGCGGCCCAGGCTGCTCCACTCCTCCACCTTAGGGCTGTGGTAGGGGGAGCTGTCGCTCACTCCTAGGAAGGTGGAAGAGAGTTGTCAGGCTCAACCCGCGCGCCCCCTCCTGAGACTAGACCCAATCCCTAACCACAAAGCTCCTGGGCTAAGACCTTGAGTCAACTCCCATGCACTAGGCCTCCTACCAGCGCTGGGCCCTAGCTAGACTACACCGTTTTCAGCCTAAGGCCTGAAGAAGTTTTAATGGCCTGAAAATAGGCCTCTGAGTTAAGTTTCACCCACGCCTGGCCGAATTTTGTTTTGTTTTGTTTTTGAACCAGCCTTAGATTCCCTTTCTCCCTTCTTGATCTCTCGGGGAATGGAGTGAAAGAGACAAGAATTTTTCCAAATTGGGAAAAAAAAAATCTAAAGCTGTGAAGTTGGATATTTGTTCATCATCCCTGCCATTGGGGAGGGCTGAGGAGGGAGAGAGAAGTACTGGCCTAAGTGCCTTCCTCAGAGACAGGCTGAAAAATGCTCACTACACTGTGGGGATCTGATAGTTATGTCAATAAGACAGAACAAAGGACTGGCAAAGTCCTTTGCAAACAAATAACTAAATGATGCCCACAACACACATGCAAAATATACATGCAGAGATTTCCACGTTGTGTGTTTGTGGGACTTCCCCACATATTCTCTGCCTCTGCCTGCTAAGTGAAAAAGTCTATATGCATATTTTTAATTAAGTCTGATAATTTTAATTGTGTTAATGGTCAGCTATAAAAAGGTGTTTATAAGTATTAGGAAGAGAAGATGAAACAAAGCATTAAGAGGATGAAAGTAGAACTCAATGTTAAGAAAAGGAGTGAACCCATGTGTCTTTCTATTGTCAAAGGAGATACAAAAAAAATTTAGAGGAAGGTGATGATTGTTATAGTATCTACAGTTAAGCATATTGAAGAAAAGTATTTGAAGACTACATGCATCTATTTTGTTCTTTGGCCCTGTGTATAGTTTTGCAGTGCCATTTAACCTTGATTTTAAACATTTCGATCTGGTTCAGGTCCTTCAAAGAGTGGGGATTTGGGGAAGTTACCTTTTATAGGCACAAATTTGTCAGAAACCTGGTTGTCTAAAGGTGACATCTCAAATAAACAACAATATCATCAAGGAACTGTCACTCCCTCCCATAAGCCCATGCTTTCATATCTGACATTTGGTCTGATTGCAGGATTCCCCAGAGAAGAAACGTTTTCTTTTCAACTGTCAGCCTATTTTCATCATCCTCCACCCCAAACAAGTAGATTGTCTAGTTTGTTGGCTCATTTTTGCAGCAGGAAGCCATGGCTGGTTCGGGCCTGATGGCTTTTGCCTTCCCAGACAAAAGGCAGTCGGTGGGCACAAGCCTGAAGTTATCTTAAGAAACTGAGATCCCCCTGTGAGCCCCATTTCTGCTGATCTCACAGGTTCCCACGGACAGGGCCTTTCTTAAATGTCAGTGGGGTCAGTTTATCCTATAAATCAAGGGCAACGTCTCCACCTAAGGCTTCAACTAGTTCCAAATAACTCAGAACTTTACTCTTGTCATTTCCCAGTCAGAAAACAAGGAGATGCGAAATCATGCACTGTCTTAATTACTTTAAAAGGTCATTGTACCGATGTGGAGGAAACTCAAAAAGCAAGAACTGTTTACAGGAAATATTTTCCTCTTTCCTATTTAATTTTTCTCTGCCTTACACTGAAAAACTAGGCAATAAATTGAGCGAATAAAACATTTTAAATTTCTTTTACCTCTCCCTACACCAAGAAAGAAGCTAATGTCTTTTAGATTTTATTTTTAGCAGCACAATAAAAGAAAACAAATTCAAGCCTACAGAGGAAGCCGGATCATAGGATGCGGGCTGCCGGGGGAGAGGGGGAGATCTTTCCAAGCAGGCAGAAAAGACACCCAGTACAGCACAAGTCCGGGCTGAAAATCTGCGGAAAGGGGACTGGCATCCACTAGCATTTCCCAGTACCCGAGGACTCCAAGGAAAGCAAGAGCCTGGGGGTGGGAGATGGCTGAAAGGACAGCAGCGAATCATCAAGCAATTGTCACTGCGGGGTTAATAGTTAAAGTCTCTGAAGGGACGGGGAGGCAGAAGGAGGGAGGGAAGGGAAGGAGAGAGAGAGAGAGAGAGAGAGAGAGAGAGAGAGAGACTAGGAACCCGGACCTCCGTTTCCGAAGAAAATGAAGTGAAGCATAAGAACGAAACCAATTAGGTGACATTTGAACTTCCTGCCTGAGCAAATTTGGCCTGATTGCCAGAATCCGAGAATAATAATATAGTTTCCACAGAGTGCAGGACGCGTAGCTGCTGCATCTGATCCACGTGCAAGTTACCGGCAGCCGCATCTGCAGCTCGCAGACCCAAGCCCGCTAGGGCCTCCCCTACTGCTCCCCAAGTCGTCAGGCTGCGATCTCCAAGCAGGGTAGACCGGCTGAGGCCGCGAGTGCGCGAGGGGCGGGGGAGGGTGGAAAATGCGAACCATGTGTTGGGGATGGGGGGATGTTACGGGTCTGGTAGTTTGAGATGAGGCTGCAGACTGTGTGTGTGGCAAGGAAACGGAGGGGCAAGAGTTTCAAGTTAATGAGATCAGGACACCCCCTGGGAAGACTCCTTAGGTTTCCAAAAGAAAAGGCCACAGGTGGTGGGATGTGCACTGGGTAGAGGCCGAAGGTTCTGGAGTTCCCGACAGAGTGCAGGAACCCACTCTTCTCAGCACCCACCTCCGAGCCCCTTACCTTGGTCAGTGATGGAGCGGATGCCCAAGATGTCAGTGACAGAGTGAGAGGAGGGCCAGGTGCGTGGCATGGCCACAGAACCGGGGATGGCCGGCACCCCAGGTGGTGTAGGCACCTTAGCTGCCGCCGCGGCGATGGGACTGGGATACGAGTAGATGTGGTTGTAGGGCAGCGCGGGCTGTGGCGCAGGCTGGTGCTGCTTATACGAGTCGTAATGAGCCTGCTGGGCCAAGTTGCCGATCTTGTTGCGCAGAATCCGGCTGATGGAACTCACCGAGGGCACGTTGTACTTGTCGCACACCCCGTCCGCCAGCAGGCGGTCCCGGATCTCCCAAGCGAAGATGCCCGGGTCCCTCTGCTTGTAAGTCCGGATGTGTTTCACCACAGTGGGAGTGGTAACCCGAGGTTTACTGCCCCCGATGGCTCCGGGCAAAATCGAGCCGGTCTCGTTGTAGCGCGCCAGGATCTTGCTGACGCAGCCGTGTGAGACCCGTAGCTGGCGGCTGATGTCACAAGGTCGGATGCCCAGTTGGGCTAATTCCACGATGCGAAGCCGAATGGCGTTGGGCAGTGGCCTTCCGTTCACGAATACTCCTCCCAGCTGGTTCACCTCCCCGAAGGCTGGCTCTGCAAAAGGAGCATAGAGCGCGCAACAACGCGCACCCGCTGCTTGAGACAAACGCCTACCACTCGACCTCCACCAGCGGCCGGGGACAGAGTTATGACACCCTTCTGTTAGGACTGTGGCTGCCCCGAAACCAGAAGGTCCCGGCCTGGGCCAAACGGCCCCAAACAAGCTGCGGCCAGACCTCGTTCCTGCTTTGCGCGTTCCAGCAACAAACAAGTAGAAAGACCCAGGGCAGCTCCTGACACCCAAAACTCTCTGAAGCAGGCGGGGAAATCGGTCCTGACGTGCCAGCGCGCCCTGGTTGCCTGCTTCGCACCAAAACGGTCGGCCCCTGCTCCCCTCCACCGTCTTATCTCCTCCCCCCCCCCAGCGCATTTAGCTGGAGGGGGAAGCTGACCGGTTGTTTTGTTTTTGTTCTGTTTTGTTTGCATGTGTAAACACGTGTGCAACAAAACTTGGATTGACACTGGAGCTGTGGGACTCGTCCGTGCCTTGGCCCTCTCCTCTTAAAATCAGAAAACGGCATTAACTGCCACCCGGCAGCGGAGTTCCCACAGCACCTCTGTCGCTGCTGACCCCTGGCGTGTTCGTACAGCACTTGGGGACGCGGTCTGAGTCCATAGAGCCCGGTCGCGCGCCCCAGCTCCCTCCCTCTCGCCCTCGCCTGCTCACTCCCTCCCTCCTCGGTTCTGACAGCGTTCCCCGCCGCCACTCACCCATTGCTCCGAGCAGTACACCAACCCGGCCCCTGTTCCGCACACCCAGAAAGAAACTTTTCTCTCGCTCTCACTAGGCCGACCTGTCGCTGCTCCAAGACGCGGCTGCCTCAGCTTCTCCCCGGGAGGAGGCGACGAGAGTGCCAAAGGAAAGAGTAAAAGGAAGTCTGTGCCGAGCAGAAAGAGGCTTGAGTTCTGCATTTCAATCTAAGCAGCAACGTGGGCTGGGCTGAGCAGGGCCGGGCGGCTCAGTCTATCACTCACTGGTGACACACCCCAAAAGAGGTGGGCCCGAGGGAAATCTGCGTTGTAATTGGTGCAGCCGGTGAGTGACAACCTAGTTTGGGGAAACTCCTTCCGCTGTCTGTTTCAGGCCGGCTCCGCACCTGGGTGACTAAATACAATGAATATGAGTGTTTGACATCTTCTCTCCGGGGCGCCACAAACACAATGCAAAATCAAGCTGGTAAAAAAAATAAATGCTGAATAAGCTTTGGTCTCGGTTTGAAAGACTTCAAGCGTGTAGGGGCCTAGGACCCCGCTTGGGGGGGGGGGGAGAAATGGACTTCTCAGAATTGAAATTGGAGGGGTTAGGACTCTATAGTAGCAAGTGGGCGCCAACAGTTGAGGGAGCTCCGAGACGTGAGGATGACTGAGAATCTCCTGCAATACTGATCTTTGGGGACTGTCAGAAAGACTCTTATCTAACAAATTCTACCCCTTTCAGTCTACTCAGGATGAGGAGAGCTCAGAAGATAGACCCATCTGACAGAGAGCCCAGAGGTGGAGGAGGAGAAACTTGGGGTGTTAAGGACAAGGAGACCTGTATCCTGCAGTCAGAGGTTAAACTTCAGTCAAGCAGAATGCTGGCTGGGACCGCGTGCTGTGTGGGGAATTTTTAAACTCCAAACTAAAGAGAGCGCAGGACCTCCACCTGGAAGGAGGTCTGATGCCTGGATCACTGATGGCAGAGGCCATTCCCCTCACCCCACCCCATCCCTCCTTATTCACACAGAACGTAGGATCCTGGGTTCTCTGTGTTAAAATTTGCCAGAGTTCTTAACACCAGTGAGCCACCTTGAAAGATTTTGTTTTTAATATGAAAGACAGCCTCAAGAAGGAAGACGCCGCATCTGAGCATCTGTATGTAATTCCCGTGATTTCATTTTAGCTACCAGAGATCCTGTAGTTCTGCCTACCTGTGGATTTTCACTTTCACTCATCCGAAGTCCAAAGAGGAGAGACCGATTTGGGACTAAAGCATGTATTTATTTATGAAGCCAAGGTTGTGAAGAATGTAAATAAAACAAGAAAGAGAAACACTTTGATTTGGGGGATTTGTATTACACAGGAAAAAAGGATGGCATTACTGCATCTCTATCCCAAATGACACTTCTTGTACACATAGGCTGTAGCATGGTGCTCCCATTCTCTCGAGGGTTCAGGTCTGCACACAGGAAAGTCAGATGGACCCTGATGGCTCACCACTGACAAGAGCCCAGGAAATCTAGTAACTGCCTGTCCTGGAAATGAATGCCAATTTTCAGGTGCCTGCTTCTGTGATGAGCATGCACTCTAAAATCAAATAACAGAGCTGTGAAGGGTTTGAAAGATTACTTCAAATGTATTGTGTCACATGAGGAACCTTGCAAGGTTTCACAAACAGATATGCCTGAACATAGCCCCCAGTTTTTGTTGGTCATTTTCAAATATGTAAAGTCTTTGCAAAGTTTGACTTTGTGGTTTTACCCTTGTCTCCCCACTCGCTCAACGCTTCTTGTGTGGCATAGTAGGGTGCTCTATAACAGGGAGAGCCTTTGGAACCAAGACTTCAGAAGCAGCACCCCTTTCCATGGGATCCTGTCAATGTCTTGAGACACTGAGCCTGAGAGGAGATCAGAACTTTGCCTGAGACCTGTGCGAAGGAAAGATTATGTTCTGCCCCTGGGTGATAAACCTTTGTCCCCATACAAACCCATGCACTCAGTGGCCTCTGGGTGTGCTCTTTGCTCAGTGTGCCCACTGAGTATTTCACACCCTTCTGAAGGGGCATGGAGGAAGGGACAATGTGTCCAGCCTGTGTAGTGGTGAGGTCTGGTGTCCTAATGAGAATCTAACTAACTTCATTAACCCAAAGTGAGCAAGAGATCTGTGCGTCTATCGGTTGTGGCTTAGGGACTGAACACACAGCATCCTCTTACCACTGCCACTCCTTTGGCTGGCACTTGACTCCCTCACTCTTGCACACTCCATAGACATCTATTGGTTTCTATCTGCTGGATCTGGCAGTTGGTGGCTCGTGATCTTAGCTGTTGTAACTGCCCTGGGCATGCACAGGCAGCATCTTACTGGGTGTAGGTCCTCACCTCAGTGTCCCTCAGGCCCTCCTAACAGCATTTTGGGGAGCACAGAATGAATCAATCTTGGATGTTTTGGGCCACTCAGCACCCCTGACAAACCAAAATCGGTGCATTGGGACTTTATGACCTGGGGATACATGGATAGAGAAGAGATATGTCATCTTCAAGAAGGGGCCACTGCTCAGCCTTCCCTTCATATGGTCACAGAGTGCCCTGGAGGCCAAGGAGCCTGTGATTCCTGGACTCCTAGCAAAAGTGGGGAGGGGGAGGTGTGAGAGAGAGGAAGGAATGCACAAATGGAAAGGAGAGAGGAGAAAAGGAAAGTAGTATCAGTGAGCCTTCCTGAGCATAGGGATACTACGGAACTTCTAGAAAGTGCGAGGGACTGAAGGTCGGGGACCCTGGTTATTGAGGTCTGGATCCAGGAGGTCATACAGGAATCGAGAGAATTTCTATTAAAAGGAGAAACTTAAGACCAAAATCAAAACATAACCAGAAAGGCCTGCATCTGGCTTAGGCTAGAAAAGCTAAAAGCCTTTCTCTCTAGGCGCTAAGGCCTCCTCTGGGGCGACCCCTTCTCTGGGTAAATATTTACTCAGTAGCAGACTGGAAGCTGGAGGACCAAAGGGTGTGAAGGAGGAGGCTACACAGGATCCTACACATTTGGCACTGGGCAGCCTCCTGAGGAAGTCAAACCCAGAGATGCAGGGGCAGCTAGGCCGGCACGGGGCTGCCCGTGCAGCTTTATCCCAAGGGCTTCTCTTCTGCTAAACTCAGCCCTGGCCCCAAGGACTGAGTCTAGACACTTGTAAAGTCTTCATAAATCTGTCAGTGGTCCCAGTGTCATGGGCTTGCCAACCTGTGGCGCGTCATGTCCCTTTCGGCACCAGTGAGGTCTGAGAGAGATGCGCTGGAAGTGGAATCTAGCTCTTTCCAAGGCCTCACACTAAACATCTCAAGGCGGCACTCCAGGCTGTGAGCGATTCCTGGAGCCATCGTTAGATCTCAGCCAGTACTTAAGGACAGCTTCTAGGCGCTATTCGCGTGCACTTCCGAGGTGGCCTCGGAAGGGAAGGTACGGTGAGAGGCAGGTGCTTGGATGGAAGGGAGTCTTTCCCTAGCGCAGCTGTAGTGAACGCAGGAGGCAGGGAAAGAGTACTTAGGATCCGAACTCTGCAACTTTTCCCCCCCTCCCCACCTTCCGCTAGAAGCAGACTGGGCCAAGCAGCCTCAGACCACTATGCCCTGCAAGGATCATTGGGAATACCGAGAGGCACCCAGAGTCGAGCCCCTGGACGTGCGCTAGACTTAGGAAAAAGAAAAAAAAAAAAAAAAAAAAACAAAACAATTAGGTTCCTTTGGATCTTGGTGCTCAATCAGGGCCCAGCCTTGTGGCTGAGTCTGCGCTCCTTCGCCCGCTGAGCTTCCCAGCAAATGTCGGGGCAAGAGGCATGCTCTGCTCCCAAGGCTAGGCCAGGTCCACCCGAGGAGGTTTGCCCAATAACTTTGTGTCCCAAGCCCCAGGTGGCGGCGGCAGCTAGAGGAAGCCACCTTTGAGGTCTGGGGACAGGGCCAGCCTGCGGAGGTCCTCAGCCAGGCCTCGGGTAGAGTAGGATAGCGCGGGAGGGGCGCACACACTGACCTGCTGGCCTTGGCTCGCCGGCGACGCTGCAGACTCACCAGAGCAGCCAGAAGCTGCAGGAGACCCCAAGTGGAGCCCAAGGACTCCCAGGGCGTTGCTTCTTGGCTGTTCCACTTTGCTTCGGCCGGACGAACCGCTCAGGCACACCGAGACTCTTTCCTCCTCTGTGGCCGGTAAGGCTGACCGAGGGTGGACAAAAGCTGAGAAGATGCTCCCGGGGCGCAGGGGCTGGACGGTCTCGAGGAGCTGGTGCTAGAGGCTGGAGGGTCCGGCGAGCGCTCAGCGCCGGCTCTCCCTTTCCAGGCCAGGGGAGGGAGGGGCCTGTTGCGGCCTGAAACCCACTTTTCATTCTCCGCCTGCCTGTTTCCGATCAGCCAGGGTTGGTTTTTCTGTTTGCTCACTCCTTCTATTACAATAAAAACAATCGACATTTCTTTTCAGTTTCCCCATATTAGCGTCACTCAGTAATTGTTCTCCACCTCCAGCCCCCCTCTCGCGCTGAAGGCGAACAGGATTGCTGGGGTTCTCGTACTGGAAGGTTTCCGAGAATATAAGCAAATCTTCCCTAAAGATTTTAAAGTAAAAATAAATAACGGCCCGGGAAATTGCTGTGACCCTAACATCACTTTCTGAACGCAAATTACACCCATTTTTCAGTTTTCAGCAGTGGAATTGTTTTCAGAAGGACGCCTATGAGCCTCCTGTGGTACGATTGACTTTGTTTATTAAAGCCTCAAATGAAAAGAAACTCGTTTTTATTCAAGGAACATAACTGAGGGACACCAAGGGCCATCATGAATCAGGTCTCTACTGAGGAATGGGAATAGTGGGCAGAGGGCAGGCTGACCCTGTAGCTGTCAGAAGTGGATCTCGCTTTGACGTTACAATTCTATTAACGATTTACGGTGGTGATGAGGACACAGTCACCAGTCATTCAACGACCTTGAGCTTGGACTCTGAAATCTGCAGCTGGTGGCAAGGTGGGGAGAGCTGCGGGGGAGAGGGGAGCAAAAATGCGAGTCCTTTAGCACAGTTGTTTGTGAACCTCCCCTCGGAAGTTTGTGCTAGTGCAGTGAGACAGCCTCCTCGAACCACCCAATTGGCCTAAAGCTTTCTGGAAAAGATAAAGGAGAAAGGCCATGTCTCTAGTCCTGGTTTTGGGACAGCACTTGTGAAGCCCAGTGCGGATTATGGTGGTCAGGTTATATACTCCACACAGCGTTATTGGGTGAAAC